ACGAAAATTCGGGTTCTAGAATAAGGCGGTCAGTATTAAATACTAATGGTAGAAAAATTCTGAGCTTAGTGGAGAATGTGGGGGGAGTTATCTTGAACGAAAGGATATCTGGATAGGTGTGGTGAGTTCACGTTTTGTGGAGCTGTAGGATGCTCGGTTATCGACTACGCTATATGTTCCTTTGTCCTCCTTCCGCTTATTATTAGCTTTTCTATTGGTAAAAAAGAATTCTCTGACCATATGCCGCTTTTGATGCAGTTCTCGGTGCCGGAGAAGGAAGACACGGATTCTTTAGGGGTTTGTCCTGCAAAGATACTGTGGAAGTCTAAGTTAGCTCATAGATTTAATGGAGTCATTAGCTCTATGCCGAGCTGTGACTTTGGACAAAATTGATGTTTTGGTATCCACTTTAACAAATAAAGTAAAATCTGCTGCTCCGGAAAGCCTTGGCAAACCGTATTTCACGCCAAAAAACAATTGGTTCGACAGCCAATGCTTGATGACACGTAAAAACATGGTGAAACATTTAGATGTACTAGTTCTTAGGCAGCTCGTGTATTGTATGTATCCTCTCGCGCAAGCTATTTCAAGCTATTTCATTAAACACTGTTAGGAACTCCAGTAACTGGTGGCGAATTGCAAACTGTTTGAAATGTCGTTCCCAGAGAGTGAAGTATATCCTTCCCTGCAGGATCTTTACAGCCATTTTGAAACTTTGCTATCTTGCACAGCTGGCACACCTTGCGTGCACTGGACTTTGCCCTCAGTTGTGGACCCGTTTCTAGATTCTCCTTTTGAACTCCACGAGCTGAAGCTTGTTCTTAAAGGGCTTAGAGAAAATAAGGCTCCTGGTCAACATGGTATTAGCTATGAATTCTATAAGTACGCCCCAGAGTGTTTTCTAACTGAGCTTCTTGCAATGTACAATACAATATTTCTTAAAAAGCAAATTCCTCAAAGTTTTCGTAACGCTATTATTGGTTCTCTTTTTAAAAAAGGTGATCCAGACGTTCCGTCCATCTACAGGGGTCTCTCTTTGCTCAACACAATATATAAAATTGTTGCTGGTCTTCTGCTGAGCCGTCTAAATGCGTGGCTTGACTGTAATAATATAATAACCGAATTTCAAGCTGGCTTCCGCAAAAATTATTCAACAATGAACAATCTTTTTAGTCTAACTAGTATTATACACTTGAATTTTAATGCGAAAAAGAAAACTTATGCTTTCCTCGTCGACTTTTCATGTGCTTTCGACACAATTCCTCGCGGTATGCTTTTCTACAAGCTAGCCTGTCTCGGTCTCTCCAGCCATATTGTAGAGGTTATACTTTTTTGGTAATCAAGGTGTACGTCAAGGTTGTTTGTTGGGTCCAACCCTTTTCTCATTATGTCTTAATGATTTAAGTGACAGCCTCCCCTGCGGAGTGAAAGTTGGTGACACAATAGTAAAAGTTCTGATGTACGCCGACGATATTGTGCTTTTAGCAGATTCTGCATTAGATTTACAAAAAATGATAGACGAGATTCGCGTTTACAGTATGCAGTGGAGGCTGAAGGCTAACCTCGCCAAATCTTAAATTTTAGTGTTTAGGGAATGCAGTAGAGTTCCTTTCGGATGTCGTTGGAATTTTGGAAATCAGGTTATTGATATTGTCAATGAGTATAAGTATTTGGGTTAACTTTTAAGCTACAAACTTACTTTTGTGAAGCACTTAGACGCAAAACTAGTTGAGGCCAAAACTGCGGTAAACGTCACATGGATCAAATATATAAACAACCCTCGTATCTCTATCTCGAAGAAGATGAATATTTTCGATGCTGCGGCTAGGTCCATTATGCTTTACGGTGCACAAATCTGGGGTATTGATAAGTTTGAACCCGTAGAGAAACTCCCGCGTTTCTTTTTAAAAAAGTTAATATTTCTTCCCTCTAATACCCCAAACTATATGCTGCACCTGGAAACCGGGTTATGCCCTCAATTTTTCCTTACCTTACGTGCCCCTATGTTCTTTATTGGGCGCTTTTTTAGTCTGCCGTCTAACAGAATGTCCCGCATCGTGGTCGAGGAGACAGTGCGACAAGGTTCATACTGGACTAAAAAGTGGTACAATATTTATGAAAGTGTTAATATGGAACCGGATTTCTCCCCTTCGCCGCTTAAAAAGAACATTCCTTTAATATTAGAAAAGCTGGTCCAAACAGAGTTTGCGAACTTCACTGAAAGAGCACAAAAGTCCCAAACGCATACAGGCATACAGGCCCTACCTACTTTAATGATGACCATACTGCGTATGCTACAAGTCTTATTTTTCGCGCAAGAGGTGGCTTACTTAATTTTAATGCAAGATCTTTTAAAAATATTTCTACTAACACCTGCTCTATTTGCAATTTGAGAGCTGTTGAAGACACCTATCATTTCATTGGGGAATGTCCTATATACAAATATATTCGTTTCGATTGTTTTGGTGAGAAAGTCTTGGACCTGCCAAGAGTTTTAAATATTCTTAATAATGGTAACTATCGTTCACTGCATATTTATATAAGAAATTGCCTTAAATATAGAGAGCTGATTGTAAATGAGTTTTCTTCAAAAAAAAACATGTATATAAATGTATATATATAATATTGTCCAGTTCTAAGTGCAGTTCTAAGTTGTTATTGTCTATGATCTTTTATTTGTTTAAATTTATTTATTATTATTATTATTTAGTGCTGATATGAATATCGAAACTAATAGTTTATATGAGCATCAGCTCAAATTTAATTTAAATTTATTTAAATTTAAATTTTACAGTTTGTTTGAATTTCTCAAAACTTTTATAATTCAGTATCTGAAGAAAATAAATAAAATTACTGTTCCTACTACTACTACTATTCCGACTGAAGTGTTGCTACACCGCTGTGTGGTTCAGGTCGGCGCTGTGTTCTCTCTGCTCTAGCCGTCTCATCACTCCTAGGCAGTTCGCGCATATGCTGATATCTCTCCGTGACCCGCGGAGGGGTTCGCGCTGCGGCTCTCTGTGGCTCTCTCACCGGGGGGATATTTTCCATGTCTTCCGCCAAACTCACTAGCTCTTCTAGAGTGCTGTACTCGGATCGTTTAACATACCATTGGAACTTGCTTCTACAGTTTGTGTAGATACGCGTCAGCTTCTGCTCTGAGTTGTAGTTCGCGAGTCGCATCAGACTCTGGAGGGCCAGCACATAGTCTTTGAATTTCTCGTTCTGTTGTTGGACGCGACGACGGATCTCATCGTCTGGGGTTTCGTGGTAGCGAGAGTTTACGAAGAACCTTAGGAAGTCCCTTTTGAATTCCTCCCACTGCTGCCAATTTCGCTTATAACTGCGGAACCATGTCAACGCATTCTCTTTAAGTAGTTCTCGCATTGTTCGCGGTAATAAGTCGCGATTCACCTCGTATACTTTCGCCAATTCTTCTACACGCTCTATGAAGCTGAGCGGCTCCGTCGTATTTGAAACCCCACTTACGGACTCGGTCCATGATGGTTGCCAGTGATATCGTAGGATACGTTGCGTATGGTTGTGGTGTCCCAAACGCGTCAATGGGCATTGGTGACTGCATGACACTGGCTCAATGGCTTCCACTTGGTGTTGCTGCGGTAACAGTCAGCGCAGGCTTCGAGTGTTTCGCTTCTAGCTCTTCGAACCGCGTTTGGTAATCTTCGTTGTTACTCTCTTCTTGTATAAATGCAGAGAAGCGTATTCGCAGCTTATCGACTGTTCCGGACTGTGTGGACTGCTCCTCTCGGTTGAGGTAATGTACCAACTTTCTCTTCACCATTTTTTTTCACACTGTTTTTTCACTGGACCGCCTACTAGTAGTTCTTCGGGTGGTCACTGCACTTTGTGTCTCTCTCACATGTTCCTTTATTGCTTCTTGAGTTTGAGTCTTTCAGGTGGTCACTGAACTCTGTGTCTCTATCACTTGTGTTCTCTTTTTTTCACTTCACTTTTATTTCTTAACGGCACTCTCCTTTATGTTTGTTTCCTTTAGAGTCCCTGCTTGGGCGCCATTTGTAACGGTATTTCCTGAGTGCTGGGCGTAGCTCTCGGTTGTCCAGGGTCCTGTAAGGAGTAAACACCCTATCTCCTCAAGAAATTATAACACACTCGCTTCTGGTTTATAGCCCCATTATTTGCTATACTCTCGCTATATCCAATCTCTGAAGTATATAACTAGAGTAGGTTTAAACCTTACAGCTAGCACCAGTCTCAGTGGTTAAAGCCCACTTCGAATATATAGTAATAGTCTCGGAGGTTTGATCCCTCTTCCACTACCCGTGCGACCCACGTTGCGACGCGTACCACGTATGCCTAGCTAATGAACAATGCTTTTTAGCACTGCTCTTTTTATACCATTTTGTCCAAGAACGAAAGAATACAAGATTGCACATTCCCGCAGAATGACATTTGCGGCAACGGGTAAACAAAGAATTTGGCGAAGAACAATGAGTTGACAGTTGTGAATTTGCAATGAGAAAACGTGTTTTCTTCACAATTCACCAATTTTTCAAGCCATCCTATAGCAAATTAAGCACAACGTTAACAAAAATTATACAACCACTCTTGAAATGTGTTCAAAAGAATAGAAAGAATTTTGTGTTTGTATTGCAGGTGCCGGAAAAGTTATAATATCTTGTCGCAGCGCATGTTTTCCTGCAGAAAGTGGTCGATGCTTGCTTACCTCCGATTTTAATTTGTAAATTGTGGTATTTCAACGTTTTCAACTTAACTTGCCGTGTTTAAAAGTGGTCCTTTCAATTGTATGTGGGCTGGTGTTGCTGTTTGAGAACTGTGAAGCTGTGGAATCAACTAAGTTGCCGCCTTGTAAATCATGCACTGTGCTTGTGGAATCATTTAATTTGGTGAGTGCGTGGCAGTAATAACAAATTTGTGTCGTATTAATATAAACTTTGCTTACAGGGTTTGGAAAAAATAAGTCGCGGCAAGAATGCCGGTGGTGATGCAGCTTAATTTCCATAATTTTCCATAAATGACGTGGTGCTTTATCATGCGCGGAATGCACTTAAAGGCATGGTACGTCCTCAGAGTTTAAAGATTTGTCAATTCCAAATCAACACGGGCTTCATACCGGAACAAGAAACATTGATAACATTTTCCTCGAATGATCTCGATGATTTACCGGATGCCGATCAGGTTCCTCATGACTTTTAGGTTTCGCTGTCGTTGAGTTTCACGGATAACGAATTTCCGCCGAGTAGGAATCCTCCTTGGTTACCAGCAAAGCCCATAAGAAACGCACAACATATATTTAGTTCGCAATTAGAATTCGAGGAAATGGTGGATAATTTCGGCAAGTCCCTATAGTATTTCCGCCCATTTCAATTATTTATTTATTTTCCTTACAACAGTGACAAAACCTAGTTCGATCAACAAACCTACGCCTGTTAGGTCAGCTGCTTCCGTAGATAACGCCTATTTTACCAGATGCTACCGAAATAAAGCAAGAGGATGTACCTCGAATCCAACCTCAACCATCACCACCAATAGACATGCTCAATTTAAACCAGCCCCAACCCCAGCTGCCGGTGCAAGATCCACAAGCCACAACGAGTGACGCTAGTTTCGATTTGCTTGGAGCATTCGGGGATGATAATTCATCTGGCATTGGCTCGGCTCCAATACCTGATATTTTAGGTAAGGATTCGGTAGATTCAAAAAAGTCTTAGACTTTTAGGCGGCCATCCAAATTAATATTTGCTAAGTTCTGAATTGAGACCTACATTTCTATTTTAGAAATTAATGTACAACCAACTTCAAATGCCAACCTTGATGATATCTTCGGCTCAGTTGCTTCATCGGCGCCGAAAATCAACCTGGAGTTTAATAGTTTTTCTGTAAACCAGCCGACACCAACTAGTGCAAACCAACCTGGTGTATTGGTGTGTGTCGCGTCAGTCTCAGCAAAATAGTCTTGCATCAACAACCAGAGCTCAGTACGTCATAGTTATTTTTCTTCTCTGTTTTTGGAAGCTAGTGCAATGAGGTATAGTTTTAATAAACATTTATTCGATTTGAAATTTTTACTACTATAGTCTTTATTTTGCAGTATATTATATACATATATTTGCAGTATATTATATTTTCATTGATCCGCTTAGTTAAGTTTAACTATAACGAAGCAAAATGATGTGTAAAACCAAGTAATTGCTTTTAAATCTAAGTAAAAAAATATACAATTTAAATGACAATTATTAAAAAGATACATGCATACATATATACGTTAAGAACATAAATATATATAGGATATAAAATTTTAATCTCTTTGTCAACTTAATTGCGGCCCTGAAAAGGGCCTCTTGTTGATTGGTATATATGTATTTATCTAAGCATAAAATTTTAATCTCTTTGTTAATTAATTGGCGGCCCTGAAAAGGGCCTTTGGATAAATCATATTACTTGCCTGCAAATAAATAAGTTTATATTTGTATAAAAGACGCTTGATGATTTTTTAAAACTAGGGACTTACGTAGCATGCAAGTATTTTAATTTTAGGAGTCTGAAATACTGAGATCAGTGCGTGTGAAATGCGGACATTGATTCATGCTGCAAGTAAAGAACGGTTAATTTCTACAAATTTAAAAACGCTTTAGTTCAAAACTTACCACATGTTTGGTGTTTTATGCAATACTTACGGTTCTATAATGGTACCATATGGATCGATCTAGGTCAGAGCTTTTTGGCTTTTTTTTTCTTTTATGGGCATTTTCAACGAGTTCTTTATTTAATTTTCGTATTTTGAAGAACATTCTTGCCCTGAAAAATAATTTTTTTACTTTAATGTCGCATTGAATTGTTGCAGCATGCTCAATGTGAGTTTTTACAAAATCATTTGTAATGAGCAAGCCATCTTCGTTCAATGCCTTAAAGACTGACTCAAGACTTCGCATATGGACCATCATAGAGGAGCTTGGTAGGGATAACCCACCCTCATTAAGGTGATCCGCCCAGGAGAATGAATGGTCGTCATTGCTCCTGAACGACGTGCTGGGAATGTCATCCTGCAGCTTGTGGCAAATATATCCCGCTAAATGCTCGAGTCCGTCTAGCTCCAAATCCTCGAATTCCGCTTCTTCAACCGGCCACAGTTCTGCATTAGAGCTTAAGTTTTTCAGCAAAATACCTGTAAATATGGTGAAATATATATGTGCGATTATTAATAAAATATATTTTTATATTTAAGCCGAATGAAATAGATAAAAAATTATTTTGAATTACTTGTAAGCGGAGGCTGCGTGATTTCTATGTCAGGCGTATCATCCTCTTCTACATTAGCAGAATCGGATAATACGCCCTTGTTGTGTCCTAGCAGGTATAGTCGCAGACGGTACTTGAATTCCTGTTGGTCAGGGTGATCATGTAACCCGCCTTTTGACCGAATAATGCCGAAGAAATTTTCGAGTACGTCTTGGTTTAGCCGATACGTCAAGACATACTTGACATTAAAGCGAGCTTTAATGTCCTCGAATAACAACTTCAACGCCGTATTACTTTGAATGATTCCTAGGGATATAGTAAGAAAAAATAACAAACATTTAGGGCCGGTTGTTCAATGTCTGATTAGCACAAATCGGAGGTAGAAGCTCCGGTTAAATACAAAGACTGCTTTATCGATCACATGTTATATGCATGATATCGAAAACGTCGATAATGATGTTTAACCGGCAAGTACTGATAACCAGACATTGAACAACCGGCCCTTAATGTTATTCTTGAGATAACCATATGTATTAGTTTACCTTTTTGGAATGGCAGCAGACTAAATTTGCCAAGCACCCTCATATTTTTGACTAGGTCGGTCATCTCGTCTAGGATCTTGTTTTGCTCCTCGATCGCTAAACCGTAAGCAAGACACCGCTTCCTGGAGTCGGCGTGAGGCACCCTGACGTTTAGAACGTCAAACCAGTCATTTGTCTAAGGTGTATAATTTGAACATGAGTTTTAATATTGCGGTTTAAATATATCGTAACCTTAATTCACAAAGGCCCTAAACAAAAAAAAATATATATATATATTATAGCAGAAGCAATAAACGTTATAAAAATAGTATCGAAAATAGGTAGAGCTTTTGAAAAAGGGGCATGTAACTCCGTTGCTTTTGGTACTTACACTTTAAAATTTTTATTTAAGCTATATTTTAGTACGAAAAACTGTTGGTTAGAGCCTTTGTGAATTAAGATAACGATATGTAATATAGTAAAATATATAATATATCAATTTCATAATATAATATAATAACACATACTGTTTTGAATAACTGGAAGCATTCGGTCCAGATTTGGTTCTGCAAATGACCTAGACTTGCTGCCCTTGTTACGGCCTGCGCCACAGTATGCGAAAATAGTTTCGCTGCCGTCTTGACCTTTTGGCGGTGAGCTCCAGCCACGGTCAAGTTACTTGCAGAAATCTTGTGAGTTATTGTCAAGTCCGTGCTTGTAATTGACAATAACTCCAAAATTATTTCCTTTTTCACGCTGGTGTCTAAATTGTATGGCTTCTCCTGCCGGCAGAACTCTACCCACTTTCTGGCCAAGGCGTCGTCGCGGGGAAACAAAAAAAAAACTGCATTTGGGGCCTTTACCCCTACGGCTGCTGCAATTGAACACACGACACGACATTTTTATAAAGTTTTTATTACAAATAAAATGATTTTTACTTCAGAACGCACGAATTACTTCGATTTTTCACTTGAAAATACACAATACGTTTGCAATACGTTTGCACTTGTTTATAAACAAAAAGATTGTTTACGTATTGCCATAAACGTCAAAGTCGGCAAAACCAAAGTAGCGGTTTCGGGAATGCGCCACCTTCAGTTCATTACACCATGCATTTTGTCCATCCGCAGACAGTTATCCTCATAACAATTGTTTGTGCTTTATGCGCAACGTAATAATTCAATATATGTATGTGCATATGTACATGGGTATATACGTATACAAACTACAATTCAAATAAGCGTACGTATATACATATATATATTAATAATTCAACCATAAGTATATATTTGTACATGTGTCTAGCAGCTCATACAATTCCAATTAAAAAAAATGCATAATATATATATAAATTGTTGTGGGGCCCAGGGCCACATTTATACATACAATTACAATACATTTACTGTACACAAAATACACGTGAACATTGCAAAGATCGTATATTTATAAATATATAGGTGTTAGGTGTTTTTTTATATGTAACTTTGCTGGTGAAACTGCAAAGAATTTACCAACAAATTAGTTAAAATTAGAATAAAGAAAAGTTAAAAAAAGTTACTAATAAAGTGAAAAGAGTGATAAATAATGTAGTAATTTCTACATGGTAAGTGCACTGAAAATAACATCTGCGTAAATATAACGAAAACTTGCGTATATCTTACGAAATGTTTCGTCCTTTTGACCCACGAAAGTTTTCGTTAATTGTACAAAACCGTTTTCGTACATACTACGAAAATATGAGACATCAGACCTTTGGTATACTTTACGAGTGCGTTCGTACTGTTTACTAAAGAATTTCGTATTATGTCTTTGTTTTTTTTTACCAAATTTTTATAATAATAATTCGTATATTTAACGAAATTATTTTCGTAAACCTTGCGTTTGTTGCATTCATTCGCAACACTGTAAAAACCATTGTATTAGTTAAAACACAACACTTTTATTCTATTTTTATCGTAAATTTGTAGCGGTTTGTTTAACAAATTGTTTTGCAAAAACGCTTAACATTAATGATAAAAGTATAATGAAAGTGTTTTGTTATCATTTCAGCTATGGTTTTTATAGTCTGTGAGTATGCGTATACTTTCCATCTATAAATAAAATAATGAAATATTTTCAAACTTGTTTAAAATATCCAAAAACTTGTATAGGGCAGCTAAATTTTAATTGAAAAATACGCGTATAGGCAGATAAATGCGCTATTTATCCCCCCATGGTTTTGTGGTGAATTTGTGTTACCAAATAAAAACGCTGTTGATTATCTTTTACAGTGGAGTACAATTCATACCGTTTAAAATTAAATAAATATTCATTATTTTACAAATGTATTCCGATTGGAGGCCGCTGTGGTGTAGTGGTTAGTAGTGCGCGCTACCATTCCGCATGGCAAACACTATTATCCAAAAGTAAATAGCCAAAAGCAATGAGGTTATCAAGGACCTCATTTCTAGTTCCGAATAAGAAGACGAAATCAGGGTCAAGCTAAAAAAAAGAAGTTATTTTAACGAAAGAGATAAATAAGAATGAGCTTTACAGCCCTATTCGCGTGTTGTCACAGTTGAATTGTCATTATCGTATCATCAACTGATGTCATAGGTATGCACAGTCAGTAATGACAAGCGAAAAGCTCGTTTTATTTGCCAATTGCGACGAAAGTTTATCTGTTCTGTTTCAGCTGTTCTTTGTTTACACTATAATTATTCTTTTTGACCGCCACTGCAACGGACGGGATTTATTTTAAATAAAATACACCGCAGCAATGGATTACGAAACGCCGGAAAAGTGAGTAACTTTATAATAGGAAAATTGATTTCATTTTATTATGAATTCGTCGATTAACATGCGTGGAAAATATGAACGCACCACACAATGGCAGCTGCAGTTTTGTAAAGACCACCCCAACTGCAAACGTGTAAAAACTGTCAAAAAAACTGTTGTCTCGGAGGTACATAATATTTATTTCCTCCATGAATTATATTCGGCTAGGGATACTATTATAATATGCATACGCAAATAATAACTTTTTAACGCTCTTATTTAGGCAAAACAAATCGTTTCACAAATTTCATTTAGTAAAATTTTGCAACTTCTTTCTACAAAATTAATAAAATTGAAAATATTAACATATGTCTCAGCGTTGTCACGTACTCAATAGGTCATCACAAAAATAGTAGCAATTGTCACCGTTGGAGCTTTAAAATTACCCTCTCCATACCTAAACGGGACAATTGATTATAAACATGGCAATAGTTATAGCGGCGAGTTTTGTCATTTCACGCGAATAGGGTTGTTAGTCTTACCAAACGAAAACCATCGGGCAATTTGTATTGCGGTCAAACATCAAATATTTGTTTTGTATTATTTATTGTCGGTGTCTTGAATGCTGTAAAGCGCACGAGCACCAGTGTTTGTGTTTTTCTGATAATCCATTGCATTGAGATCATGCATCAACGCTCTATATGCAACAATAAAAATAAAATGCAACAAAACAAAACTTAAAATTCACTCACTTTGCCAGCTAGCAATCACAGGTAGCAATGTTAACGATTAAGCGATAGCTCCACCAATGATTATTAAGATCAAATAACAAATTAACATTTAAATTTTTATTGTGATTTTTTTTCGGGAAATTCTTTTATAAAACTTTTTAATTTATATTATACGCCTCATAGCAGCCAGCAGGTAATTTCGCAATGACACGCGGTACATAAAAATATG